CAATTCACAATTAGCCAATCAGGAATTTGTACCATAAAAATTTTTGATTATAAGTTTCGTTGTTTTCTTCAACAACGTATGGAAAGTTAATGGTATACAATGACTTACACAAGATAAAATACTTTATGCTAGGAATTTATATTTGATCCTCAATAACTTACGTGGAGCAATTGAGTACCAAGATAAGCAAGTATGCGTTGGGGTGAATATAATTGTTTATCGGATTACTCAAATAGCATCCTTCCTAGTGCAGAAGTAAAAATATGCACAAATTCTCGGAAATTATTCTGGTTTAATGTCATCTGACAAAATTTTTTCGCAGTTGTCAGATTCACTAAAAAATGACTATGATGGACTAAACTCAAGTGAGAAACACTTACTAAATAAAAATTCTTGACTAAAGACATAATTCGAGAAGATTTTTATAATAAATCTCTATATTTTATTATTATGTCTACAATATCATGTTTCTAGATTTTTAAAAATTCAACAAAAAATTCGTGATGAAGGCCTATTTGTTTGAGGTTTTTACATGTGATAATCCAAGGTTTTTTGGACACTTTATTTTAAAAAAGATTGATTAATTTTAAGATTATCTCTAACTGTTCTAAGATGACATTGCACTTCTAGAAATGTTAAATAACGGTTAGAAACAAAGGGAATACAAACGTTAGAAAGGTGGCCAAGTTGCTAAATCCATTGAATATTTGTGGAGACTCGTTTTCAAAAAACCCTAAATCAGCAAAAATTTAAAGGAATTAGAGACACTTTAATTAATTGAAAGCATGCCCTCGCAAAATCGTTTAGATATTTTGGGTTTGTTGTTAAACATTTTAATTAATTAATTAATAATAATAAAATTGCATTGATGTTGAATTCCAATAATAACGCGGCTAGATTTTTTAAAAAATAACTTTTTTTTTTTTTTGGCAGAACGAACGGATTTAAAAACGAGCATGCGTGAAATCGAATTTACACAGATGAGTCGGACATTATCAAGTACTTTAAAACAATTGATTGCTGCATTCGAATTATCGTACAACATTTCCACCGACAAATTTTGAAACAATTTAAAGAAAAATAAAATCATTTTGTGAGTTTTGTGAATAAGGTTAAAAATGAAAATGAGAATATCACCCAGCTCAAAGAATAACAATGATAAATAGCAAATTGTTTATTCAGTCTCAAAGGTGGTTTTTCCTAATACTGACGAACATCAACATCATCAGCATTTTCATTAATTATAAATAAATTTAAATTCTACATATATTTATAAAATCAATAACCCGAGCCATATATGTGTGTGAACTTTTTTTTAAAACGTGCAAAATTTTATGAAATTCTGGATCTGCATTAATTAAATCCTTTCCTTAACTGGTAGATCATGAAATTAACACCCCTATGTTCACTCTGTCCCAGGATTGGCAATAGAACTTTGGGCCTGGTCCCTTTGATATTAAATATGGTTAAAATATTATTTAATGAGCCATAGTTGGCGGTGATCACTACGGTGTTCGAAATTCGACTGCGTCTAAAACTAGTCTAATTTTGGAATTTATCAGCAGTTAATTTCCATATCTGGTTAGCGCACACTTATTCTACCGAATTTCGAACACTGCCCCTATATAAAATTTGGAGTTAGTGAAAAAAATTTTTTTTTTCAAAATTTATATATTAATTCAGATGATTAGTGTAACAATATAAATATGTATATAATATTTAAACAAAAAATTTTATTTTAAAAAATATTTAAAATCGCGTTTTTTCCATGTTAAAATTTCTTAATATTTATAATATTTATGTAACTTTATGTAACTTAATCGATTAAACAAATACTGATAACAATAGTAACAACAACAACAACAATAATGGCTTTAGCAATAATTATTTTAATGATAGTGATTATTATAGAATTGATTAATTGGTATGGATACTCACAAATAGCGAACATGGTAAGAACTTGTTAACATTTGTATTTATTCATTTAACTAATCAATTAACTTAATAATTAGCCTTCCAATATGCAATTTTTTTTTAACATTTGAAAACAACTTTATATGTATTTTTGAAATAAGACATATAACATATATTTAAGTGTATTTCAAAAGGAAACTATAAAAAAACAGAGGATGCTTAAAAAAGATATTTTACAAGTAAAACAAGAATTGACAAGAACAAGTTCACAGGTATTTATGCGAGGAGGAGGCGAATTGGAATCAGAAAGAGATTGTTATAAATCCATATGATTTACTTTTGCTTCGTTATTGATAAAGGATCAATTTGCTAAATGGGCCAAGTTAAGAAGAAAATTGGATAGCAAGATGAATGAATTAGAAAAGATTTGTAAATATATATATATATTTAATAATTAAGTTGGGGGTGTAAAAAAATTTAATTAATATATTAATTTTTATTTTTTAATAATAATAACAATAATAATAATAATATATATATATATATAGCAACTTCGTTAGGATATATGAGGACATCATTTGTACTAAAATTTCAAACTATTTTGTGGGGATCAATTAATGGAATTCAAATAATTATGATATTATGGTATAGAACTACACCTGTTTATTTTTTACCAAAAAATTGGTTCAGTCCAGTTAGTTGGATCTTTTCATTGCCTTTTTCTCCATCAGGTTTTTGATTTTTGATGATTTTATTGTTGTTTTTTTACGTTCGTTTGTTTAATTTTCAAATACATACATACATACATTTATATTTATATTTATATTTATATATTATCAAAAAATTAAATTTTAGGGGCTGTTAGTGTATCAATTTGGCTTCTAATTTGTCGAAAAATTACAAAAAAATTAGTAATTTCTTCTAAAGATTCTGGTATATATACATATACACACACATATATAAAATATTATTGATTGATTAACTAATTGACTGATTACCTATTTATTTATTTTTTTTAGTGTTTTTTTTCAACCGGACATATAAACTTATTTCATCAAAATTAAATAAATCACGAGTCTCATAATTTTACGAATCAGAATGGGGCAAGAAAGAATGATGTGTGTGTATGCTAGAGATGGGTACAAGAGAAGAAAAAAGTAGTAAGAAAAAAAATAGAAAAGATTAATATCTATCTATCTATCAGAGCTTTAGAATATTAGAAAGAAAAATTGGATATTAACTATATAAAGCAATTATATCATATTTATTAGTTCAATACCATCAAAGCTCATTTCTTGGTTCTAAGACTTTTGTTTGCTGTAATTAATGTTCTTTGTAACTAAAGTTAATTTCTATTTATTTATTTATTTATTAATTTTATTTAAATAAATTAGAATACAAGAATATAGTAATTTACAAATTATCTTCAATATTTCACTTAAAAGTTTGGGTGTTAAAGGTTATTATCATAAGGGAAAAGCCAGAAATACATGTTTATCGTTTAATATAACTGATAGGAAGGACTAACCTCCCGCTTCCCATTGTATCTACCAAATTCATTATTGAATTTCATTAAATAATATATAGTTTGCCACAACCAACAAGAACGAGCATATTAATATGCCGTGAGAATGTAACAAACTAAAGAATATTATCATAATACATTGTTGATTGGATAGATCAATAATTCATTTCAAATATATACATAGTCAACCCGAAGGCATTTGTGCAGCCACTTTTCTTCGGATTAACGGAGTACTTCAAAAACCGAAGATCGGATTATCGTGTAATTTAAATAGAAGGAAGGAATGGTTTCAAAAAAAAAATTTCGGTCTAACAGGGTCTACCTACGGATTAAAAGGCGAAAGGCTACGGATTAACGGAGTAAATTTACATGTTAATGTCCAATTTCAGCCCATATGCTATACTGTACTTTGTTGCACGAATTTTTCTGCACAATTATTAATTATTGGCTGCTTTAATGTAACACGAACACGACTTCCTCAACACAACACAATCAAATATGAATATTTCACAAATATTGTTAGTTTTTTGAGAATAATTTGACCTGGTCATTACTAAAATTTCTTCAATATAGAGAGGGAACTGTAAGCTTTACGTACAATAGAGGAATGGAGCATAGAGTATACAAGAGAGTTTTAAACATGTTTTCTGAAGAGCGAGCTCAATCATGTCTCCTGAGTTTTGAAGTTAAGTATATTTAATATGATTGCAGATTGAGTGGTTCAAGAGCTAGAATATGTTCCGGTCTTAGGACATGTTGTGACATATTGACAACCCCCGAGTAGCTAGCTACCACGCCCTAGCTAGTGATAGTGATCTATGCCATCCCTTGGGCGCCCTTGAATACACTACTTGGTAGTTGCCATAACACAACCGATAAATACGCCCCAACTGGTTATTAGGCCACACCCCGTGTTATGGTCCATCTCAATCGCATAAAATAATAAAAAAAATGTTTATTTGAACTTATAGTAATATCCAGATCTTATACTAATATTCATCTCTCTTTAACGAAAGAGAGAGAAAACCTCCCAAACTTCTGGAAAGAGAAAACAATATTGAAAAAGGATCGGTTTGTAAATTGTGTTTTGTAATTTTTTATATACGCAAAGGATCTGATCTGATATATTTGTAAATAGTTAGGTTACATCAATGACGTTATGGATGATTTAATCAAAGGTTTTCAAAACTGTAAGAACATTCTTATCTGACAAGCTAGAATCATTTGTAACAGACTCAATTCAGTGCTCTAAGAAGCGAGTCCTTGTAAATATTAATTAAAATCGGTATTACATTTATATTTTGCATAGTAAATTTACTTTCCTTCTCAATATCTAGTCACATGTAGAAGATTCTCAAGATCATGATAAAGTTTCTAATTTTTGCACATCAGATCAAAACAAGAAAGTAAGTATTAATTTTATTTTTTATTGCTTCATATTGATATCATGCTTTTTTTTTTAATACAATATAGGCCAAACGGTTTAATGTTTCATTTGATGAATATATTGACTCGAGCGGGCTAATAGAAACGAAATTGCCGGTGATCCCGAAATCGACATATGGAACTTTCAACAGATTGGGAACTTGACATACCAGTTCCAAGCTGGTTGCAAAAAACGACGGAACAACATAAATTATTGATTTCACAAACTGACCGATCCGAGAGATTTGAATCAACAAAAGAGTAAGAGCTTGATCAATACTGGATCCTTTTGTCTTTGATGGTGGCCAAATCCTGATCGATTTCATTATTTAGACCAATCTGGTGACAGATCGTGGATGCGTCAGACCCAAAAATCGCGCAAGAATTCTTGTCTAAAGAAGAACTTTAGATCTACAAACCACGTTTTCAACTGCTCTTAATATTGGTCATCCCAAGAACGACTGGACAGTGCTAGAGCCTATTGCTGAAAGATGTCTGCAATCTCTTTCCAGGGTAAGTATTGAAATTAAGGATTTTGGTTTTATATGATAATTTTAATTAACATGCACTTTTTGTTCCTAGCTGGACAGTGGTCAGATTCGTATTATTGGAGAAATAGTGAAGCCTAAAGGAATACATGGAGCCATTCTTGAACTTCGGAAAATCATAAAGAATACCGAGGAGCCGAACCTAGAGCCCGATTTATTTGCGATGAGAATCCAAATAATAATACAATACCATTTGCTTTTATTGAAGAAGTAGACTATCTGGATAAAGGTGTGAGTCACATTTTAGAATTGCCTCGTTATACGTAAGTTTATTTTATTTGATAATGCTAGCTCGGCATTTTGTTATTTTGCATACACATCATCATTTGAACGTCTAATACCGCATTTCTTTGCAATCGGATGTGAAATGTTAGCAAAGGGAATTCCCCAACGAAAAAACACGGAAAGAGATATTGATATTTTCATTAAAAGACACATATTTTCATGTTTTGATGACATCCTTGGTAGCCACTTGTAGGTTCTATTATCATTCTTATGTACCGTTCATTGTTGATAATAATACTAATTATTTCTCAAATAAGTGGAGAAATGATGTCTAGGTCATCTCGAGATTAATGATGCGAAGCAACAGATGCCCCAGGTAATGCAGAGCAAGGTTGGCAAATGCGTGGTCCATTGGTGGTCCATTGGTGATCCATTGAGTCCATTAGTGTAACACTTTAACCATATTTAATATTTATTAATGGCAATGGACCAGTCCAAAGTCCATCAGTTCTCAATTGACCAGTAAATTTGCCAATCTTGATGCAGAGGGATTTCATTTAGACTGGATATTTACTGTGTGGCTAGATTTATGGTGCTTTTGATTGTTGTTATCAATATTTTTTTTTTTTTGATTACTAACAGATGCCTACAGAAACATGATATAGGAAAATATTTGCCGTACGGTCGAGAATTTTCCCTTTGTGAACGTGCAGGTTCTAAAATCGAGGATGATACAAAAAAAATTTCATTTCATTATGACCTGCAGAAATTGTTACGTTCTACAGTTTCTCGTTTCAAGCTTATAAAGGAAAGAGCAAAAAAAGAAAATTTTGTCCTCGGAAAGGTGGTGACGACAAAGCCAAAGTGAATCCCAAATATAGCAGAATCTACAAGAACAACCACAAATCCGTTAGCATAGTCTGTTGAAAGCATGTATTACGATGTAATGTTGCTAATATCTGAGAATTTTTTTTCATTTCAGTAAAGTAAATGGATCATTACCACTACTACCAAAAATTGATTATTAACACACGATGATGTAAAGAATACATTTTTGCCTACATCAGATTTTATATTCTTTAACAATGTATGTGTTTGTATTCAGTGTGGCGTGGAGTATCGAAAAAATAAAAATTGCATGTATGCTAATATACTATCAATCATGTAAAAATGGAAAATGTATTTTTTATTGACATACATATTAACAAAATGATTTTATTATTATAAATATTGTTATCAGGTGGGTATTGATGTGGTAATAGATGATAATGTATTTTTAATTATGTAGAATCAGATGAAATGGCAGTAGACTAGCGAATAGTTTTGGGTTTGTGATTCGATATGAATATTTGTTTATTCAGATGGTCGAAACCAAAGAATAATTTTAGATCTTTAGATCAAAGTTAATTTTTAAAATGTGAATATGTAGTTAATTTAGTGACAGATTTTGTTTTATCCTATTATATATAATTATATAATCAGCATCTAATATGATAGTGACTAATAATCTAACGTTAAATAACATTATAACATCAATACATATTTATTATAACCAACTATCGAATAAGTATAAGAAATTAATAAATGAAATAATGAAATAAATAAATAAAAATAATAAATAATTGTAAATGATAATTAATTATATGTCATGCGGGTTCATCCTGATGGTGAAGTTGAAGAAGATGATATAGTTGATATTGGTAATGAAGACATCATGTAATCTAAACCAATACTAAGTGATGGTGATGATGATGATGATGATTGTGTTGTTACCCTGGTAACAGAAGGTTCTCCCCAGCATTAAGCTCCTGCAGGATCATATTTCGGAACCAAATTAGTCTAACTTTTGCTACAATTCTTTGAATTCTGAGACAGTAAATTAGTGGTAGTTATCTTACTACGGACAAGTAAGCAACATCAACTACTTTGAACAAGATACAACTCCTTGTTGCTACTTAATAATATTCTCCGCTTTCTCAAGTATTTTGACGGTCTTTGGGTTTTCGCGAATCATTTCACACAATACGTGGTAGTATTTAAACTTCGACTTGTATTTCCCTCGTTCAATAACATTTCAAGTTTTTGGTACAGGCTCTACTTCAAGGCCTAGTCATTCTAATACTATATCTTGACATACACCAAATTCTCCTAAGGGTAATATATTCAAAGCTATGTGGTTCTTGAGGAATGTCAACCTCTTGTAGATCATATCTCTTTAATTCTGATTGCTTCCTTTAATTTAGTTTTTGTTGGGATATCCATTTGGATAATGTGACACCTAGGGATTCCGTTATTATTATATAATGTGATCTTATTTATATTTATAATGTTTTGCCATTCTACGAACCCAAAATTTCTTGAAAGATTCTGAGAGTATCTCACCTTTTATATGATGTGGCAATACTCCATCTGTTGCAGCACATTGTTCTGTCACCTTAAGAATCATCTTTTCATCTCCTCATGCGGTGATTGAAATTCCTGAATCAATATAATAATCAATATCTTCTGAATCCACAAGCGGAGTAATAAATCTCATATCTTTTAAAAATGCAGCAAGTCCTTTGCCATAATGTTCACAAATACCTGTACAAAGTACCGAGTCAAATGATTCTATACTTCTAATCTGTGTGCAATAATAACTTCAACTAAATTTTTTAAATGTGATAGAATCTCAGATCCATAAAAATAACTATCTGTTGAACAATCTTTATTCCTGTATGTCTAGCTCGCAATGTTGTTTACTTTTACATGTTGCTTTCAAAAATGGTAATAATGCAGGAATACTGTGTGCTGATACTACAACCGAAAATGCTTTTGCTGTGGTGTTTCTAACATGTGCATCAATAAATAAAATGTTTACTTATTATATTTTATTAAAAATATATGCATGTATTATATTTATGCTGAAATTGAAACTCTCGAGCTTTGTAAATGACCATCTTTATTTATCTGGCACCATTAAGTGTGCTCACAGATTCGTCTAGGCCCAAGAAAGAGGGAACCAAAGTAGATTTGTAAACTAGTAAATTGACAATCACCAAATTATTCGCAATTAACCAACAAGATTTAAGCCATATAATTGTTAATTAACCGAAATGATGCCACAATTTAACAAGAATCAAAAAATTGTAAAAAGCTTATTATTCACAACATTATTATAATTTAGCTTTAAGAAAATAAAATAAAGATAAAATAAAAAGATAAATAAAAAGATAACGAATAATTTATAGTGGAGATTAAATTAGCCATTCATCGATTCCTTCTTTTGATTATTAGAATATAATGTAAATAAAAAATATTGTTAGTAATGATAAATGGATAGTAATTTAATTAATTAATAGTGAATTTTTATTCACCTTTAACATTTTAGAGAAGAGAGTTAAGATCAAGATTGATTAACGAACTATCATTACTTGTATAAAATTTCAAGCTTTTTGATTTAGCAATCTCTTCATTTAATATTCTACTTTTATGATATGCATCTGGATGTGATTTGTGTGCTTTTTGCAAATCACTACTACCACTACTAGTAGTATTATTACCATTATCATCATTATTATTTTTAATAATTTCGTCATGTTTATTACCAGCAAATTCATAAAGCTCTCTACTAGTTGGTCTTTTTGATGGATCCACATCCCAACACCTCTGCATCATTTGCACATAATCATC